CTTTAATTACTTCAATTTCCTTGTACTTGTGTGCTTGCGCCCCTTGGAGGCATCTTGTTCGTGTCCAAACTGTAATCTTCATATTCAATAAACACCCCTTTTTGGGACTTTGTTCCAAGAGGTTTGTCCCTTACACAATCATCTTATCCCTTTTTAATTGTTAGTGAGTAAACGCGCGAAACACAATCTTTTGGTACTATATAAATACCATATTCCATCCAGAATGTAAAGACATCTCTAGACCTAAAAATCTCTATATTTTACATATTTTGGAGGCGAAAAACGACACTTGATCGTCAAACAAAGGCGAATTACTCAAGATTCTTGAAGATTATTCAATCAAAATCAAGATTTCATTCAAGACAGTGGATTTCTCCACTTTCTTCCATCTTTTCTTGATCCGGGTGATGTTTTTCCATATTATATTGTGTAATTTAATTAATAGGATGATATGCTAGTTTTTCCTTTGTATTGGATGAATGATAAACCATATGGTTTGCTTATTTTAATTCAAGACAGTTAGTTTAGTATTTCTTGTTTTTGTTGATTGATTTTGCATTCCCATTAAACTATATGATCGGGTCATATTAAATATATGTTTAATATATTTTGAAAAGAAATATTAAATAAAAGTGGATTATCGATTGTCTTAAATGCATGAATTTACTAAATTATGAATTAAGAATTGAATTAAATGGCAATAGAGGGATTCAAGATTTCAATACAAACATATATATAATTGACTTATTTGGAGTCACAAAATTTGAACGAACAAGCATTTACGAATGTCACCATTTCAAAATTAATAAGGGACGACATAATTTGTCATGAATAGAACATAATTGAGCAATAAACGATTAAGAATAAAAATCACACTGCAAAGTATATGATATGGTACAATATGATGATTTATGCTTTCAAGAGTGTACCTATTCCGCGGCATTAACTATTCCCATGATCATACCTATGGCAAAGTTCCACATTGCATATAGTTTGCTGAGTAACCATTACTTTGATTTTCCTTTTATTTCTCAGAATCCCTAATATTTATGACTTTGACCAACCAACAGATGTGAGATGACATATATAATAGTAACGCAATAGATCCCACCATCAAATTTTTAACCCTTCAAATTAACACTAAAATGGGGTTAAGATAATGATATATCATTTACCTCGTCATTTAGGTCGTAAAATGTGAAACTTTTAAATAGAAAAGAAAAATTAATTTCATTTTTACAATCAATTTCGATGTAATTTGCATTTTCTACACGCAATTTGGGATATAATATGATTCGCATCATAAAATTTACAACAATAAATATCACGTGAGCCTCATTTAAAACTCACAAAAAATTTGGGATATACAATATATAATTATTTTTCTCTGCTTGAGCAATTTGTTATCAATATTATTAAAATTGATAACAAATAAAAGAATCAATTATGGTACTTAGGGACAATAAAAGAATGTAGTTGGAATGTATTTTCTCAAGAATATCAACATAACTTTCTTCATACTATTTATATTAGGTTGTGCTTCTTAAAAAATAATAACATTTTGAATATTCTTCTTTCATTTTGTAGATGAAAGAAGAATCAATTTTGTTGACTCAATTTGCTAGACCTTAGTGCTTTTCTTTGAATACAAAATACTAATTACTTCTGCTAACTTAGATGGCTAATGTATTATAACACTTGGAGAAAAAGAGAGAATAGTTGTCTAAAGTGTAATTCATTATTACAATGGATCCATAAAAATACGGTTCCAATGAGTCAATATTTTACAACAGAAGCTTATTCATGTGATTTTTAAATAAAGAAGAAAACATGATGAGATAAGATTATTTTATTTTATCAACAATTTATCCAAAGAGGCATTTTAAGCAATAGCACCTTAAATAACTACTTGCTATACTAGTAGGAAAATATCCATAAAAATACTGTTGATAAATATACTTGCAAACTGAGGATGAAGTCGTTAGAAAATGTAGTAGAAAGGATATTTGGCATAACTCAACCTAACAAAAAATGCTTGTTAAGGGAGGATTGACCTCAACTTATTAAGTAGATCGTA